GCAGTTCTCATAAGGTTCAGAAAATTTGCAAAAAAGTTGTACATTTTCTTGTCTAAAAATAAGGAAAAATAAAGCTCAAATAAATAAAAAAAAATACTAGGAGGGCAGTCGTCTGGACTGTTATTGTGAGGTTTTAAAGTGCCATCGTCACATTGGTTAATAACAATAAAAGGTTGTTGTAAAATCCTCAACATTAAGGCTTTAGAGACGAAGTCAAACTTTACTGAATTCATTCAGTTCTGCTGCTTTTACCTCACCTTACAATGCATGTAATATTGTGTATATATACTGTATATATAATAATTACATTTGTAGAGATCTCATGTCATATCTCGTCAATGTCAGAACAGACGATAACTGGTCGTGTCTAAAAAGCTTCTTCAATATGTACAAAAACTCTCTCTCTCTAACATATGGCATTTCTCCAGCTTTGAACATTTATGAACATAAAGTGTAGATCCATTACGAAAACAAAATGATAATATTTCTATTCAAGGTTTAAAAAGTTAAACGAAGAAGAAGCAGTGAAGCCAGGTTCCTGGCCTTTTATAAACACAAAGTTACACAAAGTGACATAAATAGGATGTTAAGTGCAATGCTGTCTTCACACGGCACTGGAGAGCATGTTCTTCTTTAGTGTCCCTCTACAGCCGTTTTGGTGTCAAAACTGGATCCAGTGCTTATTCTGCAAATAAAAAAAAAAAAAAGAAAAGAAATGAAACCTGTTATGGTACGGAATAAACCTATATTTTAAAGTGCAAAAGATGAGAACGTCCTCCTAAGGTTTGCTGTTATTAAATGCAGCTATTTAAAACAGCCTCATGCATACCTTATTGGATTAATAAGATCAACTATCATGTCACGTCTGACTTAACCGATCAGCAATGATGCTATGCAATTTTTTCTGAAGCAGATGGTGCATAGCATGAGTTTGTCCCGTCATGACGTGCAGACCATCCTGCTCTTCAACCAGAAACAAGAAGGGTTATTCTTTCAAAAAAAAAAAACAACAAAAAACAACCAGCAGGTGGCACCAGATACATTGAAATTAAAGGGAGGTTTTAAGGATTAGACAAGGCAAATCATAGAAGTTGCAGTCAGCCAGGATATGACAGGACAGACAAACTTGAGTCAAACTTGCTGAAAAAGCAACAACAAGCGAAAAAATGCAGACGTTGGGTGTGCAGCAGCGGCGGCGGGGCATCAACATCAACATCAACATCAGCAGCAGTTGCACATAGGGCAGGAAAAAGCAGGCTGACGGACAGAGAGCTGACAGAGCAGGGAACTTACCTGGAGGTTTCATAAGGAGGCGTGACAGTCATCACATGGAGCTGCTGGAGGTGGGGAGCGGCTGCAGTGTGACAGCTAATCTTTGGAAGAGTTTGCGAACTTATCGAATGTCTAAAACTGGCGGTATGCAATATACTATGTTCATTTAGGACAGCGCTTCTTAATTATTTTCTGTCACGCCCTCCCCCCGTGTCCTCCCGACCCACACCCCTGTGAATTGAAATACTATTGAGAACCTGATAACATATAGTATAGTTTTATCTGTACAAACCACTGTGAGTTGCTGCCACCTAGTGACTGGAGGCTTGTTATCATTCAAGCATTGCAGCAGTGGTACACTTCCCGTCCCCTGGGAACCCCCGAGGGGGCCCACCCCACTATTTGAGAAGCACTGATTTAGGACCTAGCAAAAAAAAACTTAAGTCTAAATGGGATATATTTGTATTTAAATGTAATTCTTTTTTTTTTTATCTTTCACACATTTTTTTTTTGTCTTAACACACAATGGGTTGAAGTGTAAAACATTTTTAAAATTATGGTTTGCTTTAAGATTGACAGACAGTAATACAGCGAGGTAACTGCGCAGGCTTTTGTTACAAGTTCACGTGTATTAAGTTATGTTGCTAATTAGAGAGAATATCACTGTGAAAAAACACAATGCTAATAATGCATGCTCAAACACCCAAGTACAATATGTAAACACACAAGCACACCATTGCATGGCCCCAGTGACACAACACTGTGTTCACACATAATCAGCATGATACATTGATTAGAAACGCCTTCGCTCCGGTGTTTCAGGCACACAAATATTAAAGCAGAACCTGTGCATTAAACAGATCTGCACAACAAAAAATGCACTTTAGGAAATGTAGAGGGGTTAAGGTCAAATATTTGACTGTTTCACAGGACAGAGGCCAGTGTGAAAGAGGGAGACAAAGAGAGTAGCAACTCTGTGGGGAAAAGAATGATGGGAAATACCAAGGGAGATTGCATATTTACCAACAGAGTCTGCCAAATCCCAGGAAGCTGAACTCTAATCATCAAAGATTAGCTCTTAGTGAAAATTTTAGGAAATCAACTACAAATATTCTGCTTGAGTCGTTTATACAAGAAAGAGATTCAATGAAAATGGATTGTTAAGTATGATTTACAGTTTGTTTTCCAAAAAAAAAAGGAGCTGGATGGGAATATGGCTGGACTCCAGCAGGTATCTCACCTCCAGATTGTTTTTGAAACAGAAAAGAACTGCAGCCCACTGCCAAACAAAAGAAAACTCAAGAGACAGGGTAGAGAGAACCAGATTAGTTTGGTTGAAAACATACCTGACTCCCTGTAGGGCTTCGAGGTCAGCAGAGAGCTTTGTGTTGCGGTCCTGCTCCTCCTGCAGCTGCCTTTGGAGGTTGCGTAGCTCCTGCTGAGCCTCTACCTTGATGTCATTTGCCACCACCACTGCCGTCTGAAGGTCTGCCTGGAACCTGCGCCACTCATCTTTTTCATCCTGAAGACACGAGCATGAAACATACTGTACTTAGAGTTTTTTTCATCTTTTGGCTGGGTTTGCGACTATATCATTTCAGATGTTCTTTATTTCCACACTGACAGCCACTGGAGGGCACTCTAGGCTTGTGTACAAGTATCTGCTACTTCCGTACCACTAAAAGTTCACATGTTCATTGTTTTCACACTGACAGCCGCTAGAGGTCACTGGTGTGACTTATACATCGGAGCGACTTATATACGTTTCTTTTCTTCTTCATAATGCATTTTTTTGGCTTGTGCGACGTATATTCCGGAACGACATACAGTCAATACAGTACATGCAGGCAAGGCAACTGTTCAGTGGTTGTTAAAATGTCATGTAAGGAGAAAATAACGAGGAAACAAAAACAAAAGTTAAACAAACAAACAAACAAAAAAAAACAGGGTTCTACTTTGAAAATTGTTTCTTTCCTTCTTACCTTGATTTGTCTATTTAAGACCTTCAAATGTCGGTCTGCCTCAACTTTCTGCTCCTCCAGCTTTTTGACGAGATCTGCAATTGAAACAATAATGATAGTGAAGCACTTTGTGGCCAAGCGGAAATTTGAGATTCATTACACAGAATTACAGTATTTTGACTGTGGGAATGATCAAAACTACTGTATTATAAAATATCCAAAGCCTTTACCTACTTTTGTGTTATTATTATTATTAATAATAATAATAACTTTTCTTTGTCATTGGACAGTAAACAATTCATTGTATCTCAAACTTAAGGACTCTCCTCTAAAAAAAGAAGCTGGAGAAGCTGGAAAAGCCATGCTTACATTATCGTGTTGAAATGTATTTTATGAAATGTTACAACATTTATTCCTGCTTCACCCACTTTTAGGTATTTCTCTGTTTATATTCATAAAAAATACTAAATACCATTAGAACCAAATTAACTTTACGTATTTAGTCAAACAAACTCACTCTCCAGGTCCAAGACAGCTTGGTTGGTGTGACAGTTGACGGCTCTCTGCTGTTCCACCTGATCCTCAAGCTCAAAGATGGTCTCCTTTAGCTCCTTTACCTGCTTATCAGCCTGGACACCAGCATCCTCCATGAAGGTCACCTGACTGTTGAGCTCATGCTCCCTCCTCTCTGCCCACTCCTGAACCTGCTGGTATTTGGCCTCCACCTGGGAAAAGTTGGTTAATTACAAACAAAGCAGTCAGAGTTTTGATCATGCTACCTAATTAGCATTAGGTCACAACCAACCATTTACAAAACCTGCTTTGCTCCTACAAAATCTTTGTGTAAGAAGTCAATCACGACGTAAATTTGATAGATTTTCCTAGAGAATGAACTGAAGAACAGTAGTGGACCTAGCAACAGGAGTGACACGTATGGGTCATGTAAAGTGCCTTAGTTAGATCGATGTTCTTTGTCTCTCGTGTACTTTTTGATCCAACTATTAAGCCCAAGCTGTTATACCACGATGTTTGTCCTGTTGCACTGTGGTCTGTGAACAATTACAAAATAGAAGCTGGATCTGGTTATGGAGTATGATGTCCAGTTCACATCATACAGCTTTAATAGCACACGTGTCACGATGACATGGCAGAGGAAGGAAATGACTCTAGAGGGTCACAAAATGGGGGACCACCCTTATTGGTACCACACCACCCTTGGTACCATAATCATGTTACAGCAAAGGCTGAAGCACTAAACTGGTCGTCACAATCCTGGCTCTACTTATCTGCTGTTTGTTGTGTTGGATGGAGAAATCCAAAGTAACAACAAATGATAAAGAAAAAAATGAGATGATTTTTGTATCCACCGGGATTTTTTTGAGCATAGTGTCAGGTCATCCCAGCTCCTCATCCACTCCCCCATCTCTGCTGTATCTGCCTGTCCATTTCTGTCATGTGCCTTCTGAGTTATGAAGTATTTATACTGTATTTGATAGCATACACGCACACACAAATATATCAAATTATTGAGCTTCCTTCAGATGTACAGTATACTATTACAACAAGTGTCTCCTTTGCTTGTGAGTGTAGAGCAAGTAACATAGATGTAATCTGGTAAAAAAAAAAAAAAAAGTAGCGAGAGGAGCCGCTATTAAATGTGCAACTCTATGTATTTGCATTTGTTTAAAAATACTGTTGATATTAATTCTGCTAAAAGTACCGTATTTTCCAGAGTACATGTCACACTTTTTTTTAATCTTTTGGCTAGGTTTGCGACTCATACTCAGGTGTGACCTATATAGTAAAATATATGATTTCACATTTGTTTGTTATTTGCCCACTGACAGCCTTTAGAGGGCACTCTAGCTGTATGGTGCGACAGCATTTTTTTTTTTCTTCTTCTTATTCTTTATGCATTTCTTTGACTGGTGCGACTTATACTCTGGAGCGACTTAT